ATAAATATTTTTGGCCATATCGCCCTGCTCTACTACTGGAAATTATTGTACAGTGGTCCCTCGCTATACCGCGGTTCACCTTTAGCGGACTCGCTGTTTTTTTTGTTTGTTTTTTTGTTACAGCAGATTGTGATGTGCGTTCTGAATGCTGTGTAGACCATTGTCAATGAATCTAGTGCCGTGTCTCCTGTACAGCAGCGGTCTCCAACGGGGAGTCGTTTGGTACCGGGACGTGAGAGTTGAGCCTCGGGTGTGAAGTGTATGGTTTTCGGGGTTTTTAATCGTTAAGTCGGTTTCCCTGGGTCTTTTCCCGTGTTGTAGTTGTGTGTCTTATTTTGAAAGGATTATTTACGCGTTACTATAGCGACCAGAGAGCATTAAGGGGCAGAAGGAGGATGTTACTCTCAATGTTTTTGGCGCATTTCGGGAGTACGCTGCTAATAAAGTTACATAATTACACAGCTGAATTCGCGTTTATTATTATATTTACAAAATACCACAGTTTTTGTCTTTGTCTGTATCATTTTATTTTGTTAAATTTATCCGCAACACCTTAAAGGCCGGTCGGTGAAAATATTGTCTGACATTAAACTGGACCATGGTGCAAAAAAGGTTGGGGACCGCTGCTGTACAGTACATAACGCGTTTAGCTTGTCAAATTTACATAAATCTTCGTTCGCTAGCTGTGTGACTCTGAAGTGCTGTACTGTATGTTTGTAAGTTTTCTCCTCAACAAACACAACAATGCCGACGAAACGTTTTGCACGGTTTCATTCCATAATACTGGACTTATGTTTCTATGAAGGTTTGAACTTTAAGAGTGTTTAAACAAAAGAGAAAAGTGTGAAAATGTTCATTCCTGTCTGAGAAAAGTGTATAAAGCATGTAGTGAGGGGTTTTACAGTCTTAAAACATCTATAATAATTGTAAAAAATAAAGTTGGCTACTTCGCGGATTTCACCTACCGCGGGTTACTTTTAGAACGTAACACCAGCGATAAACAAGGGACCACTGTATCATTAATAGTAGAGTCTGGGACATTTAATTGATTAACATCAACATTATTATGCACTGTTATTTTTGTTCAAGCAGAGCAAAAAATATAAAACTCTCTCTCAGCTTGCTCGTTGCCAAAAATGGCAACTTTTGTGTATGTTCACAAAATGCTGTAAAATGTATATTTATTAAAACATTTATCTACTTTTACCGATTTGACTCTTTAAATTAGCACCAGTCCTTTTCATCAAAAAAACCAACATTTTATCTACATTCTTTTTTTACACTTTAAATGCCAGTTAGGCTACATATTACCAGTAACTTTTCAGATAAAAGGTGATAAAGTCCTAATGGTTTCATAAATCTTCCTATTTATTTTTTTTCCATCTGAGCATCGGGGACAAGGCTGTCTTACAATTGTTGAGGTCACTAGTGTGCGCCCTATTTCTTCCAGGATCACTCTTCATTTGTAGGTTTTAGTGGACTCCTACTACTGTGAAGTGGTTTTCATAGGTCAAAGGCATTGTATTCCAAGATCTAGGAGATTGTAGAAATGAGCAGGAATGCCCTTCTTGCCATCTTTCCAGAAAAATAAGTGATCTGGAAGCTTTCTGCACCTGCATAAACTCCAGGACACATTTATTAACAGTGTTTGTTGCTGTATGTGCTGCAGTTTGAATTCTTTTTTTGAGAGTTAATATTTTGGCTATGGTGTCTCGTTATGAAATGTACAAGAGTAAAGGTGTTTTTAGCATGTGCTTCAAAGCTAAGTTTGACTGGGAAACTCAAAGCTCAATAGTCTGTATCAACAAAAATTCACTGCAGCCTGTGTAATATTTGATGCATCATAATTTATTCCAGTCTATCTTGCAAATACATATTTGCTTTGCAATGTCATGCACAAACACACACAACTATTAGATCCTTAAGATCAAACCTGTGTCATTCTTTTGGTCCACTGCAGTGTAGTAGTCAAAAAAAAGAAGTGAAGTGGCCAGCACAGAGCCCAGAGGGTTAATGTGTAAAATGTCTAAAAATATTATTGATTACAGGGTAATACATTAATGTTAATAGCAACTGTAAGCTTTTTACTTTGAAGTTACAAGTATAAACAATGCTGTTACATTTACATTTAATTTTTTTACTATAATTATGGAAACAAGTGAACAACATTTTATAATAAGTTTAACTGGAATTCTGTACACTGACAAACAAACAACACATAAAAAACACAAACAAACAGCCAGTGCCTTCATCTGTCCATTAAATGTCAAACATCGCACTGACCCGTAGTCCCTGCTCGTCAGTACATGCTTTTAAAAAGAGCTCAATGTCCTGTGCAAACTGAAAAACAAAGAGGAAGAAGTCCCTCTACACAAAAACACTGCAGATGACAGGCCAGGCAAACATCTGTTGATCTGTTTGAATGCCTTCTCATCATGCCTACTGGTGGTGGTCAGAGGGCCTGGTGGCGCCAGTGTCCGGCAGCCTCGCCTCTGTCAGTGCGCCCCAGGGTGGCTGTGGCTACAATGTAGCTTGCCATCACCAGTGTGTGAATGTGTGGATGACTGGATATGTAAAGCGCTTTGGGGTCCTTAGGGACTAGTAAAGCGCTATATAAATACAGGCCATTTACCATTTATTTACCATGTGAGCCTTGAAGTTTTTTGTTTTTTTTTTCAAGAAGACTAAGACCACAGTGAGGGCATTTCATTTTCATGGACTTTCCATAAACCACAGTTTCATTTAGCACAGAGGGTAGAGCACATGAATGTTCTACCAAAAATTCAGAAAATGGTTTAGATGCTGCAGACAAGACATCGAGAGGGAGATGGGGCTCCACGGAGAGTTCAGTGGGGATCAGTCCTGAATGCTGACATGATAATAATTGACTTGCCATATCCCCACGCTGTATGACTGTCATGTTGCAGATAGGCCAGTGAAAGTGCAGCGGCATATCATTTTGTCTGTAAGACAGAAAAAAAAAAGAAAAACAACAACAACAACATGTAATTTAAATGTAGTTGTGTAGAATGCAATCAGTTTATCTAACAATCAGATTGTACATATTAACAAAAATATCCAAGCCATGCTCAATAATGAAAGCAAAATGGTGTGGATCACAAGAGCTGTCAAGAAATGTGGTGAACAAGAAAAAATATTTAATGAAAACACACTTTTTTCTCTTGCTGATGAATGAACTGAACTGTACAATGTGAAAAGCAACTTTTAAGTCAACAAAGAGACTGCAGAAGTGCTGAAAAGAAGTGCATATTTATAACTTTAACTATATATATATTTAATACCAACATACCTTTGAAAAGCAAAGCATTTTTAATGTGTCCATTCATATGCTCCTCATTTATATGCTCCTAGAGCTGAAAGTGGGGCACAGAGGGCAGTGAAACAGCCTGTTAGGTTTTGTATATAATAGGTTCAAGCTACAAACCTATCACAGCCAACACGTGGTGCATTCCTGAAATTCTGGCTTGGAGGCAGAATTCCAAATCGATATGTGCATCTAAAACAGAGAGAAAAACAGATAAACACCATATATACATTTAAGTTCAGGTTTTAGCAGAAATAACACGTTACAGTTAGCATATATACCCGTCCGTCTAAAGACACTACCTTGTGACGTAGGTAGGTAGTGTCCTTATGAGCATCCTTCCCCTGAATTCGGACACAGCCACTCACTCACTCACCCCCTCCCTCCTGGCTCACAGCTTCTTCTTCTTCTTGGTTGGCAACCAATGTTCAGGCGCTTTACCGCCCCCTGGCTCACAGCTCAATGGACATTTAGATGAGAAAATATATATGTTTGACACATTTAAGGAAAATACCAATAAAATAAAATAAAAATAAATAAATGTTTCCTTTAGAATTTGATTTGCTCTTTTTTGCTCTAAGAAAATATAGTTGTTTTCTTTTACAATAATTCATCTTAGCAGTAGGATTACATTAAAAGAGAAACAAGTTAAGTTTGAGTGAAAATATACATTTTTGCACTCTCTGGTCAACTGACTCAGTGACTCAAATGACTCAA